ACATTCCTGGTATAAACCATTTCGTACGAGTTGGCATTTACATGGAAACGTTTTTTTCTGTACTGTTTTGCATTGCTCTTTCAGCCATCAATACCATAATTACATCACCACTTGATTTATCGCGCTTTAATGCCATTTTGAAATCCACTTGTTACTTTTCAAATCACTAGTTAACATGCAGTTAATTACCAAGTTTGCTGTAGCGTTTATTCATTGTTTATAATCACTATTTTTATGGACTTTATTTTGGTAAAAATATGTTATTCTTGTTATTAATTGGGTCACGTTTGAAAGCTTGAAGAAATGGAATTCAGCTAATCACATGTTTATTAGTAACGGGAAGGATGACTTAACACTTTCAATAACCGCGTGGGTTGGGCTTTCTGTTTTACTGCGGATACCATATTTTGCACTATTCTCAGACATTGCCGAAAATATGCAAATTTCCGAAGAGAATGCTAAAAATTTTCATTGTTATATAATTACAAATAATTTATTTCATGAAATTCATAGTTTTGCATTTAGGAATTATGTACTATTTACAAAATAATTCGATGCTACATTGAAAACTTCAAGATTGACATGCATATATTTTTTGCAGGAAATAATACATTTAGGTTTAGACACCCTCTAACTAGATACGCTATAGTATATACGTTAAACGAGGTTTTATTGTACATTTACATAATAATAAAAATCAACATTATTTTATCACTCATTTCTTTTATTTAATAATACTAAACAAGTAGCTGAGTTAACGATACCTAAATTGGTTTATTTTAAATAACATTTCTGGTTTTTAATGTTAATGATATTATTTTTCAATTTCATTTCGCTAAAGTTTTATTTTATTTATTTTTTGGACCGTTTTATAATATTTCTTCGAATCCTTAACATTCCTGGTATAAACCATTTCGTACGTATTGGCATTTACGTGGAAACGTTTTTTCCTGTAATTTTTTGCATTGTTCTTTCAGTCATCAATACTGTAATTACATCACCACTTGATTTATCGCGCTTTAAAGCCATTTTGAAATCCACTTTTTACTTTTCAAATCACTAGTTAACATCCAGTTAATTACCAAGTTTGCTGTAGCGTTTATTCCTTGTTTATAATCACTAATTTTGTGAACTTTATTTTGGTAAAAATATGTTATTCTTGTTATTAATTGGGTCACGTTTGAAAGCTTGAAAAAATGGAATTCAGCTAATCACATGTTTATTTGTAACGAGAAGGACGTCTGTAACCGTTTCAATAATCGCATGGGTTGTGCCTTATGTTTTATTGCGGATACCATATTTTGCACTATTCTCAGACATTGCCGAAAATATGCAAATTTCCGAAGAGAATGCTAAAAATTTTCATTGTTATATAATTACAAATAATTTCTTTGATGAAATTCATAGTTTTGCATTTATGTATTATGTAATATTTACAGAATAATTTGATATTACATTGAAAACTTCAAGATTGACATGCATATTTCCTTCACATGCAATAATACATTTAAATTTAGACTCTAACTCTATCCTCTGCAAGCCCTACCCGTAGAGCCGCGGTATTATTTGTGTTGTTATTTATTTTTTTGATATATTTTATGAAACTTTAAATAAAAAATCGATATTAATAGCAAGTAATTTAAGAATATTTTACTATTAATAACAAAGACTACTGAAGGAAATCAATAACTCTTCAAAGACAGTTACCAATAGAAAACATTATTATTATTACAATTATATTACAAATAAACTTATAAATCAATAATTGTTATGTAAATTATAATTTTGTTTACTTAAAGAAATAGTTTGTTTATAATATATGTGAGAATGTAAGTATACTATAGTAACTGCAGGTATTTTTGAAACAAGAAAGTTGGTATTTCTTTCCCCCCAATAGTTTCAACCCCCAATGAACCTACCTTTTCGTGTATAAACACCTGACGCTCAGTTCTCTCTGGGACTTGTGTGCATCAACATCTCTGTTTTCCAGTTTTAAAAATAGTGCTATTTTAGCAATGGCTTCAGTTGACGAGATTAATAATTCTGTAGTGGATGATGTTGTAGTGGATTCAGTGGTAGCTACAGATGAATTCATGCTGCTGGAAGAACGTTCTGGTACGGACACGGTTGTTATAGAAGACGCAGAGGTGACAGCGATCAAAGAAAGGATGAAGGAGATGGACGATGAGGTGAGGAAATTGAATGAACTCCAAAGTGAAGTTGAA